AATACTGTTTTCCTTGAATTAGCCAGTTTTTCATTAATGACACAATACTAAGGGCAGAGAGTATAACAATAATACAACTATTTCTCCAAAAGGAAGAAGCATTACCCAGAATGCATCAAGGAAATAATATAATGAGAGATGATGGAGGAAAATAAGGGAAATATTTCCTCACAAGAAGGTTTTAAGTAGAGTCTGGCAATGATCTCCCAAAGGAAGTAGTGGAAGTCTGGTCACTTAAATCAATTAGGACTAACCAGAGCATTGCACTCCACAGGACTCTGTAAGGAGAAAAGCAGTGTCAAACTGAAATAAAATAGATTTTGCGTGCTTATTTTCTGCAGAGCTGCTGTAAGTATTTTGCTGGTAAATTCAATATGGCTAATGCTGATTAACAAGTCTCTTGATGGTGACCACGGGGCCTCTGGTGGTCTAGTGGTTAGAGTGTCTGACTCTCACCACTGCGACCCCGGTTCGATTCCCGGCCCCCTGGGCAGGTGGAGTTCGTCAGCCGTGGAAGGCAATCCACCTAAGAGAAGGTCACTCTAAACAAACCTACATCCTGGGGACCTCACTGCCACTGTCCAAGCTTTGCTCGGCCCCGGCAGATGAACCTCAGGACTAAAGGGTGGGCTCAGTTCAGCGCACGCTGTGTCTCACCTAAAAATCCACTGCACAGGCTGGAAGGGTTAATGACCTTTCCCAAATCTTCGCTCGCGAAGACTGGCCATTATTTATTTATTTATGATGGTGATTATATCATTGCATTATTTCCAGCCCTCTCCTCAATATCATAAACTCGTGAGGGTATGGGCATACTAAAAACATCCCCCAGCTCAGCTAACTCAGTCTGAAAGACACAAGGCAGATAAAGGACTGGAGAAGTTCTTTTCTTTCACCTTAGCATTTGTCAGGTTTGTTATCTCCAGAATGCTGAATGGACATTGACCACCGTACTGCACACTGAACAAGGTGTCCCTTTGGCAGGATGTCAGGGGCAGGAGCTGCACATGGACTTGGTTTCTTGGATTGCTGTAGAGCAAGAAGATGTGCCACATGGCTTAGGTAGGGCTACGGTATCCGTGTCCTCTGTGCACCAGGTGTACAGAAGGGTTTAAATGCATACGAGACCAGCTGGGCACAGAAGCAAGACAAGTAAAGTGATTTGTCCTCAGTCTTGGTGGGCTGTTTGGCATGTTCCAGGTACGCAGAAGTCCTCTACTGCCCTACCTTGAGAGATAATGGAAAGAAATCAAGCCTCTGAGAAGCTGGTATCTTTGCTTTCCTTTTCTCTCTGTGTGGGCATTGTTGTTTTATTATGTGTGTTTTCCCTTTTCTCTGTTTGGTTTTCTAGAAGCCAGTCAATTCCATTTAAAAAATAGAAATGGGTAGAAATAGGAATAAGCCAAAGGGATTGAATGGCAAGGAAGCAGTGACTTGTGTATGAGCTTGGACAAGGTGCTGAGTGGAGGTTTCTGTAAATTGACCTGCCTGCTTAAACATTAATTTATATGGAAAATAGGGTTTAAAAGCAAACAGCTCTTTGGCATATGGCATCTTATTTACAGTAGGGAAAACAAATAAGCTGGGATTGTTGCTGGGGTTTTACCCATCCAGCAAAGGTCTCTCTCACATGTAAATGGAGACTGTTACATCAGAGAAATTATCCATTTCCTTCTGCAAATGCAGATCAAATTGTTTTCACTAGCTTTTTTCACTGGGATGCATCAGTCAGATCACATCATTTTAAAAGACTGTCCTTATCTCTTCCTAGAGAAATGTGTGTGTCATAGTAGTACACGCAGCTTCAAAGCCTTTTCTTTTCCACTCCAGTGTCTCAATTCCAGCCTTTCTGCCAGAATGCATCAGATGCAAGCAGTCCCAAAACTGGTGGGGCTGAGGCAGGGGACCTGACACAGGATCCAAATCAATATTTAGACAGCTTCAGGCAGCAGAGTTTGCGCTGGCTTTCACACTTGGCAGCAAGCTTTGCACCCATTTGTTTCCAAAGTTATTGTTTGTGCAGTTTCAAGCATTGGCACTAGAGAGATTTCTCCCTGAGGGCAATGACAAGCGCCAGGTGTTTGAAACTTCCCCCCTTTGGATCTGAAGATTGCGAGAGTGAAAGTTGTGTCACTGGCTAATGTCTCCTAAGGAAGTAAAGGCACAGATTTTCATGGGGTTTTCATAATCCTTCACCTGACGTATCTACTGGGCATCATGGGGAGCCCACAGCACAGTCTCAGGCTCTGCTCCTGATGCATCCAGCACAGAGCAGCTATACCAGCTGTGTTGCTGCTGTTTGTTATCATGGTGATTTACTTGGTGCAAAAACCTGAGTCAGCGTGGGAGACAGCCTTGCTGTGGAGTTGTATGAGTCAGCCCGGAGCCCTGCAGAGTGCCTGCGCTGGGGCGGCAGGCAGGCAGGCAGGTGAAACGCTGGCCCAGCACAGAAAATAATTTTAATTTGCTTTCCAGCCATTCCACCTAGTGGCCAAATGACACCACTGCCAGGAGAGCTGGATTTGTGTTTCAGAGTCCCTCCGGACCTACGCTGCCGCTGTGGAGCTTACAAGATATGCAGGAATGTAAGCCCCCACACTGAAGATCTTACCAAACATCAGCCTGCAAGTAGCTCATTAAGTTCCCGAGCAATTTTGTTAATCATGCCGCATAGATAAAATGCAGATAGGCTTTTAGTGAGCTGATAATCTAACAAATAGGCAGAAAGTGTAACACTGATAAAGCAGAGATCAGTTTAATAGCCAGCTGTAAATCTTGGTAATTCTGTACCAGAGGCGTATTGTAAAACAGGAATGTGCAAGTGTGTAAGTACATGCATGAAAATGCACTGCTTCTTAAAATAGCAGATACAGCAGTAATATTATGTATGGAAAAGCTATTGGGAGCAATTTTAGAGGTGTTTTAAAATATTTTTGTCTCCATCAAAGTCTGCACCACTTGTGGTATCTTCATAATCCAGCATCACAAGTACAGGTCTATGAGTAACAAAGGCTTGTTTCTGGAAGTGAAGATTTTCTGTAAAGATCTGTGAACTCTACCACTGTTCCTGAGGCAGTGTAGGGAATTTATAGGCTTTTTGTTGAGATGAACGAAATTATTCACTCAGATACATGCTAGTCACGAATCAGACTATCTCAAATTCATGGCCTGATGGCTCGCCAACCTCTTGAGCACCTTCTTGATTGGTGGCGTTAATTCAATTGGAAGAACAGGGAAAAGCAACTCACCTTCAGAGTATCCTATATCCCATACCATATTCCATACCATCCTGAGTATATCCTTCTGAGCAGCTGGGAAATGTGAGTTTAAATCCCCACAGCCTGGGAAAGGGACTGCATCTACTTTCTAGGTCCCTCTTCTGATCTTTAGGCCATTTTGCAAAAGGGAACATCAGTGCTTCCTCTTCTTGTTTGTTTGAAAAGAGGAAACTGATCTGGGAACACGTACCAGTGACATCTATATCCAAAAAGAGGTTGCAGGCCATGCATCCCAACCTCACATAGACATGCAGGTGCTGGCTACACTGCATCCCATCTAGATGCCTTTCCTTGGTATGCAAAGCACAGGGAACTCTGATTTGTGAAATCTACTTGCAAGCTAGACAAGAAGTTGTCTTGGTGAATTGAGACTGAAGTGACTTGCCAGGGTCATGTAGCAGGTGGTTGGTGCAATGGGAAATTGAGTTGTGGTCTTCCAAATCTCAACTTTGTGGCCAAACCACTGAATCGATTTGTGGAGAAGCTTTTATCCTTGTTGGCGAGCCCCATTTTTGAAGCAGCCTCTTGCTGCTTTATGAAGACTAGAGTTTTTCCAGTATTTGTTTCATGCCCATTGACAGAAAAAATTTAACAGAAGTTAGCACCAGTGCATTTTTGGTCAAAAATAGACAATATCTGTAGTTTACCATGTGGCTTAGCAAGTTATTTGATTGCTATATATATACCTCTGTAAAAAATGAGAGGAGGTGGCAGAAAGTGTGTGGTTTTTAATATATGGTATATTAATGTAAAATATAGATAGTATGATGAGAAAAAAACATGAATAATGATGCATAACTCAGACCTGGAACAGTTGGTGGAGATCACTCCCCTGCAAACAGTTTTTACTCTTTCTACAAAGAAAATGGCGGAAAATTAAGTAATGAGGTGGGACTCGGGGTAATTTACATCATTTGAACTATAAATAGGAATTTCTTTCCTGTTAGCTGTACCTCAGACTCACTAAAATCAGGAACAGTATGAGGAGAATAATCTCCATTGAGTGGAGGAAAGAGCTGTGCAGTCAATACTTACCTATTATGTATTCAGCAATGGCTTGCAAAAATTTGAGAAGAAAAAAGAAACCAGTTTACCCTTGAAAGAGGCAGAAAGATGATTTCTGTTGGATTTTGCTGTAATATTAAATGTTTCCTTCACAAAACACTTTCTGGATTTAAGTGATATCTTAAGCTTGAAACCACTGTTCACTGGACCTTCCATCAGGGCAGAAGAATCAAAATTTCATTGGGCTTTCATGGTAGTGCACTGTAGCACAGTTAAGATCCATCCAAGAATTAGCAGTGTCCACACCAGACTAGTTTTTGCAGTCTTTTTCAGGGCAGAGGCTTAGTTCATAGGTCTTCAAGATATTTGGGAAAAATAGTGCTGATTTGTGAAATCTACTTGCAAGCTAGACAAGACGTTGTCTTGGTGAATTGAGACTGAAGTGACTTGCCAGGGTCATGTAGCAGGTGGTTGGTGCAATGGGAAAGGGACTGCATCAACTTTCTAGGTGCTGTATAATGATGTACAACATAAAGGGAGCAGTGCTAGTTACTGAATGTAGCATCACTGCTGGTGTGATAGAAGAATAACTGGTGCTGAGCTGTATTTATTTCTGAATGCCAGATCTGTTAGGTTATCTTAACTACACGATGAATGAGTTGGGATGATAACAAGAGCTGATGGTAACGCTGGCAATTTCCCTCTCTTTTTTTGCAGGTCACTGTCAGGGGATTTGGTCCATTGTTACAGTTTGCCTATACTGCTAAGCTGTTACTCAGCAGAGAAAACATCCAGGAGGTCATCCACTGCGCGGAATTCCTGCGCATGCACAACCTGGAGGATTCCTGCTTCAGCTTCCTTCAGACACAGCTGCTGAACAATGAAGATGGCCTGTTCCTGTGCAAAAAAGATACCACCTGTCAGCGCATGCACGATGAGGAGAACTCGGATGGAGATGAGGAGGAGACGATGGAATCGGAGACATCAAAAATATCTTGCCCAAGAGAGAGGATGCACCAAGAGCCCTTCAATTTTGAAACCACTGTCGCTGGAGCAGACAAAGGGGAAGGGATGCTGCCTGACTCCGACATGCTGAGAGATAGCAAGGACAATTTAGATAAAGATGCAGTAACACGGTACCCCAGATACAAGAAATACCAGCTTGCTTGTACCAAGAATGTCTACAACACATCACACATCAGTACCTCAGGTTTTGCAAGCACATTCAGCGAAGAGAGCTCTGGAAATGGCCTCAAATCAGGACTTGCTATGGGCCAGATAAAAAGTGAGCCTCAGAATGAAGAGAACGATGAAGAAAGCATCACACTTTGCCTGTCTGGAGATGAACCTGACATCAGGGATAAAGAAGGGGATGTTGAAATGGACAGGAAACAGCCAAGCCCCACTTGTGTCGACAGGCCAAAAAGTGGGTCTTCTCCTTCTTGCTTGCGATCTTTCTTCAACAGAACAAAAAGCATGGATTTGGTTGGCTTCCCCAGCACTTCCCAACAGCACTTTGGCAGGAGTCCAGCATGCCCTTTTGAAAAAGGGACAACTCAGGGTGACCACAAAACTGATTACGTCCCTTTCACAGGGAACTATGGACAGTCCCATGCCATGCAGAAGGATGCTTCCAACTTCACAGTGGGATCGCCGCTCAGGGGGCCCGGCTTTGAAACTCTCTGTAAGCAAGAAGGGGAATTGGACAGGAGGAGTGTTATATTCTCTTCAAACGCTTGTGACCAAGTAAACACTTCAGTGCATTCATATTCTGGTGTGAGCAGCTTGGACAAAGACCTCACTGAGACTGTGCCAAAGGGTCTGTGGGCTGGCAGTAGCCAGTCTCTCCCCAGCTCTCAGACCTATTCGCACAGCGGACTGACAGCTGATCACTTGCCAGGAAGGATGCGGCCGAACACCAGCTGTCCAGTGCCAATTAAAGTTTGCCCTCGCTCTCCTCCTTTGGAAACCAGAACCAGGACCTCCAGTTCATGCTCTTCCTACTCGTATGCAGAGGACGGCAGTGGTGGCTCTCCCTGCAGTCTGCGTCTTTGCGAGCTCTCCTCTTCCCCTTGCTCCCAAGGCCCCCGATTCCTGGCACCCGAGCACCAGGAGCCAGGAGTGGTGGGGGATGGATTGTACAACCCGGTCCGAGCCCAGATTAAATGTGAGCCATCCTATGGAACAAACTCCAGCGATGAGTCTGGGTCATTCTCAGAAGCAGACAGTGAATCATGTCCTGTGCAAGACAGAGGGCATGAGGTAGGGATTTAAGATAAGTACATATTACCACAGTTGTTGTGACACAATTAATCGCTCCTTGATTCTCTCAAATGACTTTGCATTTCCCCAGCACTTACTTTGTTTATAGCAGCAAAGAGTAATTTCTGGTTATTCCCTCATCAGCTGAGTGCACGTGATTGACTTCACATAAATAGGTCTGCTTGACCTCTGTGGTGGTTGGCTCTTCTGAAAATTTGGGTATGGGACAATAGTAAACTGCCGAATGATGTGCACTGATGTGCTTAGGAGTCTGCTGGCAGTGTCCTGTCTTCCTCCCTCCCTTGCCCACTTGTGTGACACAAAGCATTGTTCTTTATCCTTAATTTGCTGATGTGGTTCCAGCTCCACCTGTTATTGCTGCTGGTGTCTGAGCAACCTCAGGTTGTGCCTTCGCTGACACTGAGAGTTGAGCAGCCCGCTTGAAGAGCCAGTGCTGCATATTGCTAACAGCCGGAGTAGAGGAGGGAGATAGAGTGGGAGGAGAAAGAGGTGTGAAATTACTGAAACAGTTGCATAGCTGGCCACCCTGGGCTGTGGAAATGGTATTCAAATCATCTTCCCTCTGTGCGTGTGTGTGTGCGCGCGTGTGTCACACACACAGGTAGCGTGTTTTTGCCTCCATTATGTGACAACTTAGATCATGTTCCCTGCCTGTGACATTTTGTTTGGCGGTGAGTTCTGGCAGCCTTTGCATAAATGGTTTCAAAGAGAAGTTATTCTTTAATTTCCAGGACTGTTAAGGAAATGACAGGGGAATGATTTGGGGTTTGAAGAGTGTCAACTCCCATGTAGTTCTCCCATGAGAGAGAAAAGAGGGGCCACTCTAAAACTAGAGATGGGCCAGCTGGAGATGTTGCAGCAATAACTGACTAAGCGTGATGGAATAAGCTGTCTTTGTGAAGTCACTAGTTTGAGAGCAGGCTTAAATCATGGAGATGTGTTGCAGACCCCAGAAACTGAAAAAAATTGGATGTTTTCACAGAGCTTCATTAGGAAACTGCATGACCTAGAGTGCAGGTGGGTGAAATCACATATCAAATTCCTCTAGTAATGCTGAAACATTATAGCTTGTGCTACAGCAAGTGCAAGTTTGGGGGGTTCATATGCTGACAGCACCCAGTTCAGAACCAGGTGGGCTTAGTTATGGAGTAGGAATGAAGAGTGAACTTTATTCTATCCCTCAGTCCTTATTCCACTACATCCCAGGCTCTGGAAGATATCTTTCAGACAGATGTGGGTGGTCCCTTTAGTTGGCTGCTTAGTTCTAAGAAAGGGTTGAAGAGCCTGGTGAGCCTCTGGTGTCCTAATCCCTGGTCACACTGTACCAATGATTCTGAGAGGACAGTTCTTTGTCCCCATGTCCTCAGCTCGGGACAATGCGGAAGAGAAAGAAGTCTCCTTTGGAGGCCGCCTGAGATATTGTGAGTAGAACCTCATTCAGGAAGCCTTACGGCAGCTCTGCCTGGCCATACCAGGATTACTCAGTGAAGTCCTGCCTTTACAAGGAGCAGAAAGTAGCAGGGAGTGGGACTGAGACTGAGGGGAGCATCAGGTCTCCACCCATGTGTGGTGATTGCTCAGCAGAGGGTAATGCTCAGCATGAGGCAGCGCAGAGGGCGGGAGTTTACCCTTTTTGGTATTGATGATTAATTAGCTGTCATAATTAGGTAATTCTGTGGAGATATGCTGCAGCAGAAGTGAACCTGGAAGAGTGAAATGAGAAGGTTATAGGGGACTGGTGGTGGTTTCCAAAAAAAAAAAGTATGCCAATATATTCAGGAGACCATGGATGAGAAGAGCAATATTCATGAGAGGAGAAAATAGGAGGCCATCCTGGTGTGCCACTGGCAGGCAGACATACCTGGTTCTGGGGCACTGCTAGGAAAGGTTTGTTCCACTCCTGGTTTTGCAGCTGGTTTCCTCCTGGGAAGACTTTCTGCACTGTGCTGAGCAAGTTTTCTCCCTGGGACTGCTGATATAGCTTTTTTTATTATTATTTCCCAGAGCATTTTGATTAGGACTGCTGGGCATTAAAAATGTGGTGAGAAAATTAATGTTCTGTGAGGTTGCACTGCACTATCCCGAACAAGCCAAGGGTAAGCAGATCACACCAGTGCTTTGGTACAGATTTTGTCTGAAAAGTGATTTTTTAAAGGTCATTACCAATGCAAGAAAGGGCATTGCAGCCTCACTGAACAATACTGTATTTATACAGTGACTTCAGGTGTGTATCCTGCAGGATCTGCTGCTGTGGGAACCTCGGTGAAGGATATCTTAAACAAGGCAGTAGAAAATATCTAATAGCAGCAGAAAGTTCTTGTATAAGTTGCTCTACCTACTTTTAGCAGTTTGGCTGCAATTAAAACAGCAGGAGAGACTCACAACCATCTGCAATGGACAGCTTTCTGTCCTTCATCTCCCTGCAAGCTGCATGGGAATCTTTCTCTTTCCCGAAATTGTGGGTTTGCCCTTGCTGTCCTGATGACTTCACAGACAGGTCCCTTTCCCCCTGCCATATCAGAACACATAGTGTTACTGGGCTTCTGTTCAGAAAGCACGTGACACAGAGGTGCTTGCCCTTTTGGAGGGTGGCCATGCAAGCTCTTCTGCTGAGAGTGGGCTTTCATTTGGGTGGGACGGCCTGATAGGAATAAGCCTAGTGGACTCTGACCCTCAGTTATCTCAGGGCTGCTCAGTTTCCCTGGAATTTGGACCTTGTTGGTCTTAATTTGGGTCCCAGAGTGCCATCAATGCCAGAATTAATGTCACAAAACGTCATTTGTTGATGTATTGATTGTATGAGAAGTAGGTGAAAGGTTTCTTCTCTCTGCTTTTTTTGGGCATTCTGCTTTCACACAGAGACAGATACCATTCAGGAGCACATGATCAAAGTTGCTTGCTGTCAAAAGTGCTCAGCATGAGTGCCATTTTGGGTGAGAGTGACCCCACTATGTCACCAGCCTCCCTGTCTTATCGGGGGTGCAGATGGCAGTCACAAGTGTCAGAGGAGGTGGTAGTCCTCATAACACCACTGGTAAATCTTCTTCAAGATGTCTTTGCCCATTATTTCCCTTCCTGGAGCCTCCGAGACTCCTCTGTGATCTCCCTTTGTTAAGGCTTTGTGATAGAAGCAGCAAGTGCAATGTAGGGTGTCCCCATGTTACAGAGTTGCAGGAACAGGGCTGTTACTTGAGCTATTGGGACTTTACAGAAATATTTTATAGTTTGTGTTTCTCTTTTCACTCAGCTCTCTCAGGCCTCCACAGGTTGTTAAAAATCAGGTATTGGCATATAATACTAGAGAGATGATTTAAAGCTCAGTGCTTTGCATGTGGGTTCTGACAATCCTGCTTAAAATAGCAACAACAAAACAATAAGCCCTGAAATAATGAATTGTTGAGAAGGAAGTAGTCTGTCAATCTGTTAACCTACTTAGGAACAGAAACTTCAGCACTACCTACTTTTCTTGATATTCCATTTCTTCAACAAGTATCTATGTTTTTTTCTGCTAGAAAATTTGCAAAAAATATTGTACTACTAAACCAGTTAAAAAGAAGTCTCAGCTCAGTCTAATTTGATGAGTGAGTTTTCTTAGGAAAAGAATAAACAAGAGCAGGAGGAGGTAAGAGGTGGAGTTTTCCAAGAACTGTTACTATCTAGAGAATTGCATTCAATGCTTCTTTCATTTGTATTTCAAAAGAATTTCCCGCCTGGGTTAGTGGCTCACTTTTCAAAGAACATTTTCATAAACACAAAGCTAATGAAATTAGACCATTGAGAATATTGTAGGTAAATAACCTTCAGTGAGAGTTGAAACCCCTCCATGTTAAGCAACAGGCAGCCACCCTTTCTCTGTTTCTCTGCTGATGCTTAGCAAAGTGCTGGAAGTCAAAGCCCCAGAAAAGAGGAGTAAACCAAAGTTGCTCTACCAGAAATCTACTGGAACTGTGCTGAGTTACCTAAGCTAAGTCTGCTTCAGTGCTTAGTATTTCTACTTAGTGAAGGGTATTATATAGAAAGAAGAGTAACCAAGAAAAATACATGTGTTGACTTGCTTTGGTATATGGTATTTGGTGATCAGTCACCCCAGCTTTTCTGATTCTACTAGGTTTGCAAATTTGAAAATGACAAAATTACTTTGCATATTCTTTTCTGGTAGGTGTTCTCCTGACCAGGATCCTCAGTGGTATCACTGGGCATTGTGTTGGTCAACTTCTGGTTAAATGGGGTCTTGTCAGACATCGGTCTTGTAAAATAAACTTCATGGCAGTTTTGTTTTCTTTCCTCTCTTCAGCAGGAATGGTATCCATACTGGTATCAGAGAATTACTGGATTACAACAACACTGAGAGTTTGAAATTTCAGTAGGATCCTTTTTTAAACACTGCATTATTTCATTGCACCTACAACCCGCAACCAATTCTGTTATGCCCTGATCTGAAGACCTTGTGTGGACTCTTGAAGGACTCTCTCATTTTTTAATTTCTTTTGTAAAAGCAGATCTTTCAGAGAAATACTGCACTTTATCCCCCCTCATTTCACCGCCTGATCTGCCCTTCTTAAACCTATGGTTTCTGTCAGTGCTTCTGTGCTATCCCAAGTCTCAGAAAAGCCTGTTAAAGGGCAGGAGTATTGTACTGTTGTGTCCTTTGAAGGGCTGGAACTTGGGGACGCGGCAAGCAGTGAATGGGAAGACATCAGCCCAGCATTTTAAACACCAACAGCGTGTGATCTGCATAAAAGTCCAAGTCATGGGCTAAAGGATGAGAACCCCATGCACATCTGATTGTTGAGTTAAAGCCCTCAGCTACAGGACTAGCCCGTTACCCGCTTCTCTGAGGCAGGTGGCAAACCAAAAGATTACCCAGGCTGTCTCCACTGAGTGCATAGCAGTGCCCTCTCAGGCAGCATTTAGTGACCTGAACACCTCTGGTGGCCCTCTGGAGGTGAGGCTGGAGCTGACCCCAGGCAACTACAGGGCCATCAGTTGTCTTGCATGAGATAGAACATGCTATCTGCGGTGGGACCTGCTGATCTGAAATATAGCATGTAGGCAGTTGAGCCCCTAACACAAGTGGACACACTTCAGCTCCTGTCCTGCAAGCTGTCTTTTCTGAGTGTTTGTGGAAGACAGACATGCATGCCAAGGAAGATACTTGGAAGAACAACATTGATTTGTTGGGCTCTTCTGTGTGAAGTAAATTACCCCTTTCTGCATCAAAAAAAGCATTGATAGGATTCACCCCCTGTGATAGGTTACTTAAGTGGGTCCTGAGAGCCTTCCAAGGACCAGGCAATTTTAAGTGTCAGAGGATTTCAGTAACTGGCTTTCAATTTAAGGGCACTGAGGCAAGAGTTTTATTTCTTACAACTCTGGAGCAACTGACAAGGATTTTGAACTGCTTATAAAGGTCAGGCTGGTACTGTGAGTTCCCCCTTCCCATACCCCCTACATAATGGTTACTTTTTCTTATGTCTAATATAGAAGTCCTTTTAGTTACTATGATGTTAAAGTCAGACTTGGGGAGTTCGTTGTCTTTACTGGCACTTGACAGCTCAGGGGAGATGATGTCAAAATTTAAAGAGAGTGAAAAAGCTAATTTTATGCATGGGATAAAGAAATTCCCAATATTTTATTGTGAGTGGATACAAGTCCTGGATCCTTTCCTTTATTACAGAGAAAAAGAGAGGGGGAGAGCAGCAGCAGCAACAGTAACTAGTACAGTAGATGAGCTACACAGTAGTAACTGGCATATGATCCAAGCTGGCACTAACTAGTGAAGCTTGAAGGAATTAATTGGTTATATATGGGCCTGGCATGTGCTGAGTCAGTGGCTGTCCCTGTCTGTCTACATCACTGCTCTCACTTAGGCACTCAAAGCAATGACATTTACAGTGCACCCTAATGCTACTACAAGGGGGGAAAATGCCACAAAATCATAAACAGGTTTTCTTTTTCACCAGGGTGGCTTGGTTGTCCTCTCAGGAGTGCATCAGCCAGAACTGGGGGCAATAGAGTCTGCAGTGGTCATAGAAGGTGCCAGTTTATTTGTCGTGTGGTGGAAAATGAGCTGCTACTACTGCTGCTGCTGGTGTAAAAATGCAGGGCAAGAGTAATTGTGTTCATAGGGAAGATTTTACAGCTCTGAGAGGCTAACTCTGGCTAGAGTAACTCCTGGAAGGAGCAGTGATCCCACTTACATTTCTAATTTGAAATAACCTGAACCAAAAAGTACACATTCATTTCCTATATAAAAATCATAGTTATTAGAAAGAAAATTTTATGAGAAAACATACTCACTGGGTTTTTCTTTCACATCTTAGAAAAGATTGTTCTTTCTCAGACACCTCAGGTAAAGTTTCTCTCACCTACCTCAGATACTGTGAGATACAGAATCTTTCCTGAGTCTCATCTCCACTCCTTCTGCAGCCAGGAGGGAGAAGCATGCAATGCCATCTGAAGGCCTCCATGGCAACAACGGAGACATGGACACTAAGTAGTTCCAACCCATCACTTCATGCAGCTCTGCATGGGTCAGATGAATCCCACCCATTGCACAGTCGTAGGCTCTTGCAAAATAACTCACCACTCTGTTATGATAAATACCATCTGACAGTCTTACCCTGTGCAGATGTAAAACACCAGTAGCCTCTCGCTGCAGCAATGCCCTGGTGCAGTTATTTGGCATCTCTGGCAAGGGTTTGGTGGTTTTGGTTTTTTTTCAGTTGACAGCTCTCTCGAAGAGGGAGACAGGCAATAAAAATGCTGTGAATGGTGAAGGAAATGAGTCTGACTCACTTCCACTCTCCCTTTCACGTTTTTAATCCTGCACAGTGCTGCCTATGACAGGAGTGGGATTATGCTGGGATTACTGATAGCAGTCTCTGGTCTGCTGTGTGGATGGTTTTCTTTTCAATCCTTTTTTTTTTTTTAATGAATCTGTTTCTATTTATTTTCCCATTTCCCTTCAGCAACTTCTGCCTGACAGATTTAAGTTTTTTCCCTTTCGTTTCCATTTCAGCTACAAGCACATATCCTCCTTGCAAATAAATATGTTTTGGAAGGGAGAGGGAGGAAGAAATAAAGTTAACATCACTTTCCGCTTTGGTCTTAAGAAAATAAGGAAAAACTGGGAACATGAAAGGACTGATTTTGCAGTGAAACTGTGGTGTCTTTCAGAGGAAAGCACTGGCTGTTTTTATTTTCAGACCCTGGTTGAAGCTTAAGAGTAGAGCAGGTGACACTGAGTTTATGTTGAGGCTTGGGAGGGGAATCAAACATGTTTCTTATCATTAGTTAGCAGTCTATAAACAAGGTGGTCTGCATCACTGTGCCTAAGGTCAGCGTTTGTGTGTACAAGCAGGAATCTGGGGTGATTAGGGCAATATCTGGTGCTTCTTGCTCGTTTAAATTGTCCTGTCAAGTAGTGTGTTACAAAGGAGTGCCTGGACACATGCAGCAGAGGGACATGAATGAATGTTCAGGGCATGAAACCATCTGAAAGAATGTGCTAGGTGTTTGCACTGACTTTCACGTACCACAGGCTTGGAGATGCACAGAGCAGTGATAAAATAGTACAAGAAAATGCCCAAGAATGGTCATAAACAAGGCGAGGAGCTCATTATCAGCAGGTCCAGGTCCTTGCTGAGGGTCTGTGACTGTCAGTGCCAGAGGCCACCGCTGTGTATTGGAGTACGTGTGTCCTCAGCAAACTGTTCTGCTTGAACAACCCAGCTCTCTGATGAAGATAACTTACTTCTAATCCTTGTTGTTACTTTCTGTATCTCCAAATAATTAAAGTACACAGCGTGAAGACAATAGTGGGTTTAAATATCAAAGGAATCTTATCCTTGGCAGGAGCAACTTACCTTCTTTGGTGGCCTGCATGCAGAATACGGAATAGGGACAGAAATCTAAATATTTACTGCCATCTTTTGGGCAGTGTGGGTATGACTCAAAAAAGGAAAGGAGATCAATCGAGTTATTCAGTTGCCACCTCCTTCAGTTTTGTCAATTTTGGCCAACAAATACAACAGTCTGCCAAGGAGCATCAGGTTTTTGGTAGTTATCAGTCTGGGGCTCCAAGTGAAGCAAGATTTTTGAGGAGAGGTGCTTACTTTGATTTTAGCAAGCTAATAAGTTTGGGGAAGAAAGGTTTTAAGCACATCGACCGTTCTTCAGCTTTTGAGACAGTGTGTGTTCATTGCTTCAAACTGTTAGGAGCTTTGTGTTTTGCAGCCTTTGCTGTGCTTTACTGCATAATTGGTAGAACTCCTGAAGTCAGAAACTGACTTTTTCAAGAAATACAAGTTCAGTGCTCTTTAATCTACAAAAACATTAGTGTCAATGTATATTGTTTTATTTCAAAATGTGTATATTTTAGCAGGATATGCTTCATTACACTCCTTTGACCCTTTCTTCTTATATAGTGTACTGCTCAGTTGAAATACTGATTAGTTGACCTTTCCTAATTGCAATACAGTATTTTTCATCCACTTGAGGTGTCAGTTGCATTTTTAACCTCACACCTAATCAAACTTTCAGTCCTGCAGGCCGTGCAGAGACAGGTTTCCTGCTGTGGTAATAACCCCTTCCTTGAAACTAGTTTGAATTTAATTGCAGTGAGGTACTTCACTCTGTCCAAAAGGCCATGTCTCCTAGTGGACAGAACCTTCTTTTAATGCATTGAGATCGGTTATTAGAGCTTTGTAGAAAGATGAAATTTTTATCTGCGATTCATCTATATTGCTGATTTAAGTACAATTATCATCTGATTCTTACCATCTGGATCTCCACATTGTGCCACAAGGGAGTGTTAAAAACTTGCCCAGTGTAAAACTTGGTGTGTTGTTTATTGAAGGGAGTGGCAGCATAATCATCCTTCCACTCACTGTTGTTCAGCTTGCACTGAGCAAACAGAATATGACTCTGTTCTTGTCTTGTGTTTGTTTGTTTTAGGTGAAACTTCCTTTTCCTGTTGATCAAATCACAGATCTTCCAAGGAATGATTTCCAGATGATGATAAAGATGCACAAGCTAACCTCAGAGCAGCTCGAGTTCATCCATGATGTCCGCCGGCGCAGCAAGAACCGAATTGCAGCTCAGCGCTGCCGCAAAAGGAAACTGGACTGTATTCAGAACCTAGAATGTGAAATCCGCAAGTTGGTGAGTTAACGTGCTCTCGCCGCAGCCCTGCTCACCCTCGCGCAGCAGCTTGCAGGGCACCAACAGCAATTCCTGCCTGGAGTTTAGTGGGTTCAGTCAGTTTGTACACACATGAGCAGAACCACTAGTATGAAAATTTAATACGCAAAAATATATTGGTATGTGCATACGTAATATATACAGAAAGCACAAAATTCCAGTGAAATGAGGCCTAAATGTGTTTGTTTTTCTCAAGAGCAGGTTGTTGAGCAAGTTGGAAGAGGAGGGAAGCCTGTATCACAGCTTCCTTCTAGCAGTTTAACTTAACCCCAGTACTTACAGTTTCGTCTACAAAGGCATTTCCTCATCTGAGCCCCATTTTCTTGCCTAGCTACCATAACAATCTGTTGGTCAGGGATTCATAGAGTGCCCAAAAGAGGTAGATATGAAGAGGCCTTCAGAGGTTGTCTGGTCCAAACAGGGCTGTGGCAAGGCCAGCTTCAACTCTATGTATTTTCTTACTCTTTGGCATGCTAGAAGGCAAGTCAACATTTTCAGGACATTTCAGTTTGCTGTGCCTTTTCTTCAGCTCTTTCATTCACTGAGCAAATGACAGAAATGGCAAGGGAAGTGAAAAGCCAGGAATGTGAATATCCAGACAAGTGGGCATCCCTCGGTGTAGGTCAGTGAACTGGCAAGGGTATGTTCCTCCTTGTCCCTGCTGTCTTGTTTCCTCTAATGCTCCTAGTGTTCCATGGAGTGAACTCCTCATTTTTCAAGGAATCTGGAGTAGTCCACTGCAGAGAGAAGAGCAAAGTGTGCCCTACTCACCGGCCAGAGCATGTCAGGGGATGTCTCCTGTGTGCCAAGATGTCAGTGGACAGCGCTGCCACATTTTAATCTAAGATTAGAGTGAGGTGACTGGAACAAGGCTGAGTGGCTGCTCAGAAAATTCCTCTCTCTTTCAGTCATGGTATGGACACCTCAAGTGTGATTTGGGTGGCTAAACACAGATGTTTACAATATAGACACCTGCACTGGAGCTTGTTGTCCTGGTTTTCATTATAGTCAGTGTAGAGAAACTTGACCAGTCTTATTTGTCTCCTCCTGCAGCAGAGGAGGTGACTTATTGTGCAGAAGTGCCTGTTCCTCTTCATCACTAAACAAGATCACCCAGAAAGCCATGTCATGTACAGACCTCTTAACTATAGGCACTTTATGTGAAAAAACTCCCTTCCTTTGTGGCAGTGCCCCTGTGGTCTGAGGGACTTGCTCCTGTTCCCCTGCCGTAGAATCATAGAATCACCCAGGTTGGAAAAGACCTCTGAGATCATCAAGTCCAACCCTTGATCCACTACTGCCATGGTTACTAGACCATGGCACTAAGTGCCACATCCAGTCTCATCTTAAAAACCTCCAGGGACGGAGAATCCACCCGTCTGTAACAGGGAGGTGACACTGACCTCACAAGCTGGATGGAAGACTTAAAGCATCAAGGCTTGCAAAGCCTTCAGATGCTGTGCTGCTGAAGCCCTGGGGGAAGAAAAAGAAACAAAAATCAAAACATTGTTGAGAGTAGTACTCCACTGATGCAAAACAAACAAAACATCAAAGATAAACAAAATAGTGAGCAACTGCTTCCTGAAATGAGTATAATCTACAGTGTATACAGGGTGACTCAGAGGTTTTTCAGGGTGAAAGAGCGGCTGCTCATCCATGTTGTCAGGAGAAGCACATCCAGTCTTGGCTGCACATGCCCATCCCTCTACACTGAGCCAATGATGGGGAGGAGGAGTACATTTCTCTCGCTCTCCAAGCACGAGGAGCAGCACTCTAAGAGCTGGACTAACAGCAAGGGGGGAGAGCAGCTTGATACCTGTAGCCTTCACTTGAAAATTAATTTGGGTTTGTTGACCTTATGCATTCCTGTGACGTTACCATTATTGTCTGACATAATCAACTGTGGATAGACAAAAGAAATTTTTTAAATCCTCTCTCCAGCACACACACACATCTTAGGGAAATGAATGAAAGGCATATGAGTGACCTTGTGGGTCTGATCCCTGCTGAATTTCAGGAATCAAAAACCCTATGAGGTGCAGGATTCTTCAAAAGAAATGTTGAAATTTCTATTCAGCAAGATAGACTTAAGTATGTAGCAATATGCAGTAAGTGAAGGAAGTAGGGAAGGCACCCTGCTGGACCTGTTTGCAAACAGTGAAGTGCTGGTAGGCAAAGTGATGGCTGGAGGCCATCTTGGGCACAGTGATCACAAATGATAGAATTTTTGATTGTTGCAGAAGTAAGGAGGAGGGTCAACAGAACTGCCGTCTTGGACTTCCAGAATGCAGACTTTGGCCTGTTTAGGAGAGTCCCTTGAGAGGCAATTCTGAAGAGCAAAGAAGTCCAGGAAGGCTGGACATTATTCAAGAAGGAAATCATACAGGCTCAGGAGCAGTCTGTCTCCATGTGCCAAAAGACAAGCCACTGGGGAAGACCAGCCTGGCTGAACGGAGAGTGCTTTGGCTGGAACTCGAGGTACAAAATGCCCCTTTGAAAGAAGGGGCAGTAACTCAAGAGGACTACAAGGATGTCATGAATTTATGCAGGGAGAAAATTAGAAGGGTAAAAGGCCAACTAGAACTTCATCTAGCTACTGCTATAAAAGACAATAAAAAATGTTTTTGTAAATACATCATCAACAAAAGGAAGGCCAAGGAGAACCTCCATCCTTTATTGGATGCAGGGGAAACATAGTGACAAAGGAAAAGGATGAGGTACTTAATGCCTTCTTTGCCTCAGTCTTTGATAGTAAGACCAGTCATTCTCCAGGTACCCAGCCCCCTGAGCTGGAAGATGGGAACAGGGAGCAGAATGAACATACAACACATGATTACTGGAAATTCCTTTGTCATCTTTTGTCCACTTTGTGACCAGTAATTTCCAGTCTCCTAAACTACATGATGGTATTGTGGTTTAAGAGTTTTTCATTTGGCTGCATCCTTTTTATGAAAGACGCCTTTTCCCCCTGTGCTTCCTGTAAATCACCCATCTTCTTGACACAGATGGTTTCACAGCAGACAGTGAGTGAAATGGTTGTATCCTCTGAGTTTGATAGGTAATTTTTTTTGCCTGCTTTCCTTCACTCATCCATCTACCCACTCATATTCCTTTTTTTCCCTGCAAACTCACAGCATATTCTCTTCCATAATTCATTATCTCAAGATGTACTTGAGCATCTGTTTATTTTTTTATTATTTTTATACTTTCTTGATAGATTTATCAATATTTTAGCAGTTGGTTCTTTTCCTGTGCACTGCTCTCTTTTGCATTCACACAGCTGTATGCTTCCAGTGTGGGCTTTGGACCCAGGACAATACTATCCACTGTCAACAACCACCCATAGTTGGATTATCTGAGTTGTGGAGTTTTCACACCTCAGATGCCAAGACATCTTGGGTTTAGCAGTGTTACTAGGTGAGATACGTGGCTGCGCTGCTTTTGGGGCCAGCTCAGCTCTGGAAATAGCTCTGGTACTCTACAAAATCTCATCTACTCTCTCGAGCTGTATGCCCACCTGCCTGAAACAGAAGGAGATGCAGCAGGACCATCTCGGTTAGTCTGCACTGAGTCAACACCAGTTTTTAGAGGTGTAACCCGAGGCTGGTCTGGCTCTGTGCCTAACCCCTCCAAATCTGCCTCCTGAGCACAGGGAGGGCAGCGCTCACCCCACAGTGAGGGCTTGCTGGCCGTGGGAGGTCTAAGCTGGAAATTACTCCCACCACAGCACATTGCACAGCACCCTGCAGTAGCTAGGGCTGTGGGCCTTGCCAGTGCGTTGTAGGATGCAGAATAATCTGGGTTCCTTTTCCCATTTTTTAAATCCTGCACGAAAAAATCAGTCCCACCATACTCTTTCCCTCTTCTTCCTCACCAGTAATGTCCTGCTTTTCACATGGTCCCCTCCAAGAGTAGCCTGCTGACATAGCGAAACTCTTGAAAACCCAGATGTAGGTAAGGGAGGACATTTGGGAACACAGATGGCAAAGCCTGAGGAGAGCAAAGGAGGAATGATATTGAGCTCAAGCCCAACCCGTTAATCACCAGGGCATCAGAAAACGAGCCATGGTGCAGGCCACAGAGCACACTTAGATCCTCTCTTCTGAATAACATATCTCTCTCCCAGTGGTAACAGGGGTTTAGCTGGTACGTGGGCCAAAGCAGGTGCACCCAGCCTGAGGAACCAACCTGACAGTTAGAGGGTGAACTGAACATCTGCGGCATATTCGCACTTCAGGAACTAATCCCTGTTTTCTTGCTGTTTAGATGGGAAATGTCTTTTCTCCATCAAAATGTTTCATTTGGAGTTCTTTTGTGTCCTCTGTCAAGCAGCTTTAGTCTATAATGGGAGCTAGCAGCCCCTTAGGAATAACTTGTGATTCTATCCTCTTCCAGCTCAAATGTTCTTCTCCAGATGTTTCCCAAACTGTAGTCCACACAGAGCTCATGGTGGTCAAATACCTGATGTCTCTGTGACTCTTCCTCCAGCCATGCAAAAATAACTGCAACATGTTGGTGTTCTTCTTGGTTATGGCTGCATATGTGCCCAGAGTGAGCCCGCAGCCTAAGATGCCTTCTTTCTTTTTCAGGTGTGTGAGAAGGAGAAACTGCTCTCAGAAAGGAACCAGCTGAAAGCAAGCATGGGAGAATTGTTAGACAACTTCTCATGTCTTTCCCAAGAAGTGTGTAGAGACATGCAGAGCCCGGAACAGATCCAAGCTCTCCACCGATACTGCCCCGTTCTGAGACCCATGGATCTACAGCCAGTCACCACCATCAGCCCCACCCCAGCTGGTGTGGAGCAGAGCCTGGTGACCTCCCAGTGCATCGGGGAAAGCATGCAGTGCTGCTCGGAGCAAGGCTCAGTGCAACTGGGAGCACCCTGGCTGCCTAACAACATCTCAGAAAATTGTTCGGCCGGCGGGGGGTTGGATGGAGCCGACACAGGTACTTACCCCGAGAGAGAGCTTCCACCAGAGCAGAGCAGCCAAACGGTCACGGTAGACTTCTGTCAGGAGATGACTGATAAATGTACAACAGATGAACAACCTAGGAAAGATTACACCTAGTGACTTGTAACCTTAACATTACACCTAGTCAGGTGTTCTTCAGTCAGCCAGTGGCAGGGTTCATTTGTTGTCTAGAAGAACGTATTTGGTGCACACTACAGTGGTCTTAGCAGCAATACTGTTTTTAAGTATTCCCTCCTCTCTACAAGCAGGAGTTCTCTTCACAATGGTGCTATCCCTTGCTCAGGCAGGGAACGAAGCAGTGGCAACACTGTCTGTTTTTGTATGTTGATTTCAATCTTAACAGGGATGGACATAACACCTCTGAGGACCCAACCGCAGCTTTTTTCTCAGTGGCCCATGTCACAAAACCCTAACTCAGGAATTTCCTCTGAATGTTCAATTTTTCATTGAAGACAGCTTCTTTACACATCAAAGTTTTATAGCTAAACTGTACATATTATATATAATATATATAAAATATATATATCCATATGCAAGAATCCCTGCATGCCTCAATTTTTCTCATCCTACAAACTGGAAGCTTTCATTTCTATTGTATAAACAAGTTCCAACATTCCTTTTTGTCTTCGATGCTAGAACTAGTTTGGTAACTTGTTACACGATAATTTTTTTCTCAGTTCGCAGTTCAGCAATATCATTCAATTTGTACTTATTTATAAAATTTTAATGTTGGAAACTTATTTGAGATATTATTATAGACAATTTTTTTTGGCACAGCCATTTTGTGCCACTTGGGCAATGTGGAGTTATTTTATTTTCTTGCAGATACTGTACAGTAATGGTCAACTTTGCCACTTGCACTGAGTTTCTGGTCAAACCTCTTTTCATAAATGAAGTCATGACTTCAGTATAACTTGAGTATATGGTTTTCTTTGCTTTATTGCTTAAAGGAAATAGAAAATTTTTAGCTGATAGACAAACACTCAGGAGCTCATTATGTAGTAAAAATGGTCTTGCCAAATACTGAATTCACTATACAATTTGTAAAGAGAATCTGCTTGAATTATTTTTATATTTAGACTTCTTTCTGTTTCACAAACCAAGTTTAAGTGCTGTTAATGATGCTTTTGGAGTTTTACAGGGGAAAGTATATTTCACTTTTTAGAGAAAAGTGTTTTTGACAACTGGATCGGTTCATCATATGTTCCACGAAGTAAAGCGAACGGAAATCACATCAATACACGTGGGGGCTTTTTCTCCAGCCCCACTCTGCATCCTTTACTCATGGAAGCAACTGCTGCTCTGGCTAGTCCCCAGAGCCTGACCTCAGCTGTCCTCAGACATTACCTGTTTTCCCCACCAGACCCAAGTTGCAGAGATGGGTCTGGTGAAGTCAGTGATCCTGCCCAGGTAGGCGGAGTTGCAGGATCAGACCCCTAGTTGTTGACTTTGGTTTCCTTACAGAAGTCCAGCTAGCACTGTATCCTCTAAGAGTAAAACCTACATTTGCCAACACCTGATTTGGTTGCTTACCCATCAAATTCTTGTGTTTCAGGATCCTCTCGTCCTGCAGCATTGCCCTCAGCACAAACTGCAGCTAAAAGAGCGCTGTCTCAAAAGAGGCTACTCAGTGAATTGGCTTAGTTGTAACTGTATTGGATTTGTATCTTACGCAATGTTGACTCATGTTATGACTGTTTGAGACAGCAGCTTTCCAAGCATAACATCTGTATGTACAGTGTAGACAGAAAAACAACCTCCTAATGCTTTTTTAATAATTATTATTATTATTATTCTAAGTGTACTGAGTTTTTATTTTGTGGTTCTTTGCCCTACGTGTGCCAGGTTGCGTGGCTTTATCAGTGACAACTGTCATGTGCTTTACTGGCTGATATTGTTTGTTCTCGCTGAAAAAAAAATGACCAGCTGTTCACACCTGTTAAAAAAAAAAGTGTGGGGAAGCAGCTTCTCAGAAGCACTAAGTGATAATGTGGTCTTCTGTGCTAACGTTTACACTAGAGGTGTGCGCTGGTGGTTTTTTGAGGCACTCAGTAGATCAGCATCTTGAACCCTGGAGGAGGAATCAGCTCCCTCTCTCCACTTCTTCCATCTTCAGACTGTGCTCATGGACCATCACCCACTCGCCACAAAGTCTTGCTTTTATCCTCTTCATCCAAACTATTGTAGCCAAGCTACTGAGGAGGAAATGCGTATAGCATGTGCCATGTTTGTTGAAAATAGTTTTTTTCCCCGCATGTACAAAGAAAAACTAGTATATAATGTAGGAGAATATTTATGTTTAAGTATTAATCTTTACTGTACAAAATCCTTACCTTTAAATGTTAAAAAATATACAAATGCCATAAACTCCTAGTTCACACAGTTGAAAAAGGGGGAGGAGTTGTCCTTTTCTTTTTAAAAGAACTTAATCTAAAAATACCTGAACCCCCCCCCAGCCATCTTTTGCAGGTAACTGACTGAGAAGCTCTTTGGCGGGGGGGGCAGGATTTGATTTTCCTTTGAATTTGTTGACGTTGCAAAGCAGTTCTGTGCTTCGCAGAGAAGTTTTGTTTCTATGAGACCATGGTGAAAGCTAGAATTTAAAACTAAATGTGAATCACATTATAGAGTCATAGCTACTGGGGGGGCTGGGGGTGGGCGGGAGGGAAGGGTCAACTGACACAGTATTTTAAAGATGTTTTTCTGTTGCCTTTTTTATTTTTAAGTGACCTCCTATATATATGAATAGATAGAATGTTTTCTGAGTATAAAACCAAGTTTTAACTTACTTCCTGACATGAAGATTTACTCTACTAACAACTCATGTGCAACTGGTACTCTTGACCTCATTCCAACGGTTTAAAAAACCCACACACACAACCCATTGCGCTGCAGCTCTTAGGTTTGACCTGGCCTCATACTGGTGCTGGGTCTCTTGATTTCATCTACCTTGGGAACTGATATTTAAAACCACTGCTCAAATAAGTGTCTCTTCCTCAACCTTTTTCTCGTCTCTCTTTCCCTCCCCTGCAAGCTTTTCTGGATGTTTGGTTTCATTCTTTCCCATTAGAAGTGGCTGATTTTGTGTCATTGCTTCCTATATTTACATGTATCATGGTTTTTCAGTGGGGTTTTTTTGGTGGTGGTGGTTGTTTTTTGTTTCTATTTTGTTTTGAGTTTTTTTGCTATTTCATACCATGTGGCTTTCAAAGCGGTTACTGGGCTAATGTTAAAGGAAGATATCAGGAGAATTAGTTTCAGACCTGGACACCAGTTTACATACCCAACCATTCTTGTCTCGTGAGGTCAAACCAACTGACCACAAAATATCATTATAAAGAGGGAAAAAAAACCTGGCTGCAGTATTTTATGAATTTTAAGAATTTGGCCAGTGGTCACTGTGATCTTCAGTAAGAATCTCTTTGCATTTGTCAGAGGACACATGCAGCATCTGTCCTGTCGGGCATTGCTTGGGAATGGCGTGGTGGGACCCCATCTCCCTGCTGAGCACTGCACCGCTCTCCTGGGCATGCGAGTCCTCAAAGCTCTGTCCAGTCTGTATCTAGTCCTCCTTTTCCTCCTTTTCCTTGCTATACTTATATTGCCAGGAAACCTGATTTCATTTAGGCTTGTTATGCTTTGTCAGGTGAGTACTACACTATATAATGTGTTTGTTTCTCTGCGTTCTCTAGGGGTGCCTTGAACACAATTAAAGCTCATTGCAAGCTGATTCTGGAACAAAAAGGTAGTGAAAAGATTTAAAAAAATTTAAAAAGAGAGGGAAAACAAAACAGAAAACAAGCAAAACAAAAGCAAAAATGTTGGTTGTATTATCAGGAGATCCCAGTATTTATATCACAGACTTCCTAAAGTGATGACTCAGGCGTCAGAGTTTGATGCTGCAGTATAAAACTATTATTTTATATATTGTACAAGTAATTTATTAAATATCTTTCTAAGGGTATATGCTGCTTTTAAGATGCACTATATTTTTGGATCTAATCCTTGTACTATTTTTTTTCCCAAGGAAGTAAAATGTGCTGCAAAGGCAAGCCACAGTGATTAGTATGCTAACTGCTATTTCTCTTTAAAAAGGAGAGTGGGAACTAGATATGTAACTTTGCTAAGTGGATTAACTCCTGCCAGAGAAATTATTAATGATGATAGTGTGGTTGTTAATCTGGAGTGCGACACTTTGTCAAGTCTGTATTCTAAAGAGTGCTTCAATAGAAGTTAAAATGCCTAGATATATAGCTAATTTTTTTAATATGCGACTTTATGATTGCCTAGTAAATAATACAGATCTGCATGCTGGAATCACTGTAATCCTATAATAAAATGAGAACTGATCCACTAGAAGAAAGCATGGTGAAGCATTGCAGTTCCAGAATCAACACCACATCCTCACTTGTGTCTTGTAACACTGCCTGTGGTAGTGAAGAGAGCAAGGGGTGCATTTTAAGAATAGAAGGCCCGTAGTGAATTTTGCAGTGAGACAAAGTGAACATTTGCCAGGTTTCCACAGGCTCACATCTTTTTCCACTTCACGTCCTCTACCTTTGCAACAAGGAGTGCTGCTTCCACCTTTTTTTTTCTAATCTGAGATGTGTTTGAAGGTGCCTCCGGGTGAATGTTGTAGCCCATGGCTACAGCATTTTAAAAGTCTCTATTTTAGGGCTGCCTAGAGAAGGTTTAGCTCAGTATGAGCAGCAACTTTGCATAAGGAGGGGATCTGCTAAGTATAGAGCAGTTTTATTTTTATCGGAAGTGAGGTGAAACTAAAACTATTAACATAAAGAACTTCTGCTCTCTTTTCTGTTAGAAATTCTCACAACAGATTTTGACTTCATTTCAGTTTTGTCTCTGCCAACACAGTCCAGGTTAATTTTGCATCCATATATAAAATATGTGTATGTATGTATACATACATCTATAATTCTAGTCAGAGTGTGTGTTTGTGTATGTTCCTGTTTATAATACATATATGTATATTTATAATACTCCTTGGAGTATTTCATGACTCAGGCATCAGGTCTGATGCTGTAGAATACAATATATGTGTATATGCATATGTTCAAATACTGTGTGTATATTTAAAAGATCTATTGTTGGTGGTCTGTAGAATAATATTTCCTTTACTCTCAAAATTTTAATGGCATTACTTGCAAAGACTTAAGTGTACAGTATTTTCCTACACTCCACCAAGATAGGTATTATTTATATCAAAGTCAAATATTGATATGCATTTTAAGGTATTACTCAGATAATGTTGCCATTTTTGCAAAGAAAATTGCTTTTTGGCAGGAAGGAATGCTAAAAATATCTTTTTACAAGGTCATTACCCCCAACAAACAACTGCTAAAAAGCCAGTTAGATGACTCTTGTTCTTGTATGAACTTCGGTGACAGTGGGCAGAGCCCTTTCTGTAGGTGAAAGTCACAGTGTGGTTCATGCAGTGCCACTGTTGATCCCTTTTGGCTAATTAAGGGCATGCAGAAAGAAACTAGTATCCCAAAATAGAAATGGCAACTGGCAGTGTTTGATTTCATTGATTGCTTAGAAGCAGAGATGGTCCCAGGCTATGAACCCAAACGACCCCCATGTTTTGGAGGGATCCAAGTGGGGCCTGCATTTGCCAGCTGGGCTCGTCCCTGCAGCCGGAGGAGCCCACACTCTGGGATGTGGGCAGAGGAGGGAGCAGCTACCCTGCGCTGGGGGTTGTGACTGGCTTCCCCTGCCCAGGCCAGCATTACCCTGCATTTGTGATGTACCCAGGAGAAACCTGCATGGTTTCAGTCCTGCTCTTACTACTCCGCTTGCTCTGCCTGAAGCTCTCTGGATCCCTCAAACCAGCAGGAATGATACTAAACACTTTGGTGATATTTGATGCATGGTTGTTTACTCATAGTTCCAAGCATCACCTTTGATTTCAAGGGTGGGGATGCCCTAAAAGTTTGTTCCAGAACCAGTTGGTTACAAGTGCACCTCTTATATATGCCTTACAAACTTCAGAGGCCATATTCAAAACAGGGTTTTATCAGTGTATGCAAGGGGGTGCAACCCCTCTTCTCTTCCTCCCCAGGTCAAACAGTATGGACAGTTTTCACACATATCTACCTGTATAACCCTCTGTACCTCTCATAACTGGTCAATGACTGTAACAGGTTACATCAGGTGTTTTTTCTACATACTTTTTACACAAATTCTATGCGATTAATGTAACTTAATTCAATGCATCATTTTATTGTACTAGTTCTTAAGCTTGTCTTTATTTTTTTTCTAGGTGACTGTGGTTTCTTGTGATTTTTATTGTATAAATAAATGAGGTGGCTGTTGATGCTTACTCTCTGTTACTAAGAATTTTTACCTTTTTGGAAGAAAGCATTGCTATGAACTAATGAATTTAAAATGTCATTTACTCATTGTAAATACAGTATTGTGCAAAAAAAATTAAACCACCCAACCCTTTTCATTCATTTGAATTGCTAGTGTTAACTGAATTTTGTCTAGACACCATTTCTGTTGATGAAATAAAGACATATCATTATGTATTGTAAATCGACTCATCTTGACTCTGAAATTGATATTGCAGGGCTCAGTTAACATGCAGGTTGTAGGTGAGATTTAGGAGGTAGGTTGGATGTGGTTGTTACTGCCTAGCGAATCTCTGGATTGATGAAGAGACCTCTACTCACATGATCCCATTGTTAATTCACTGCTAGTCTTTGATCCAGGGATCCAGTTACCTTTGATCTGGAGGAACAGCCCAGGGTGTTTCATTGCAAAGATGTTTTGGGAAGATCAAATAAGCTGTATCTATACCCATTCCCCTAGTGCATGACTTAAGGCAATTCTGATAAATCTTTGGGTCTTCTAAAGCGCCAGTGTGCGTGTTGGAAGGTGAGGGGAGAGGCTGGGGTTTGTTTCCCCTTTAAGGAAAACCTGAGAGAAACTGAGGTTTCTGTAGAAACAAAATATAGCTGAAAAATATCTGTAGTGTACCTCTCTGAAAGAGGAAACTTGTACCATGGGCCATTAGCATCACTTATACTACAGGAAATCCAGAAAGAAAAGAAGAAATGACAACAGCCTTAGATGCTATTACCACAGGCAGGATGCATGGTCTAGTGGAGGAGGTTTGCTCTTTGGGATTCCAAACACATAGCAGCCACCTCTCTTCTTGTGTTGGATCCGAGCTGAGAGTCTGCTCATCGGCTTGCAGGAGGAGACCCAGCAAGGGGGAAGTGGCATGACCAGTTGTCCTACCCCAGTCCACAGACTTGGTGGGATGATGCTCCATGGAGTGGGAAGGAGGGCAAGCTGCTAGAGGGAGGTCCCGAGGCTTTTTTATCACCAGACAGGAAACCCTAAATCACATTCCCTAGGCCACTAACCTGAGGGATACAAGCTGCATCCTCCTCCATCTGCAGCTGTGAAAGTTGCCTGCGATTTTTCAGTCTGAAAATTCTCAGGGAAGAAAATCAAACATGTTATTTTCCAGAGTTACTCGGTTTTCTGAGTCTTCCCACTGAACCTATATGAAGAAAGCTTCCCACCCCCTCAAATCTGTCAGAAGATGTTGTATCCACTGCATCTATACAGCCTGGCAGTAGAGAATGTACTTTAGCAAAGCTGTTTCTCCATCCCTGATCAGTTGTTGCTGGCACTTAATAGCCACTGTCTCAAGTATTTCTTTTTTTTTTTACCTTAAAATACTAAACAAATGCACAAGCAAATTGTCAAAGTGTTTCTAGTAAGGCAGAATATGAATGTAAATCGTGTGCACAAGAAAAAAAACGACACTGCAATCTTTATGCTTGACTTATTTTCCTGCTGTCCTGCTTTCTGCTAGCCTTGCCTTAGAGTTGTCAAATGATAGGGAATTTTTATGCTTTGGGAAAGCTGCATAGCAAATGAGTTTGTTCCAAGCATCACTTGCTGCTGAGGTGATAGCAAATGTGAACTGTGATAAGCTTGACAAATAAAAGCAGCCTAAAGTATGTGGCCAGAAACAGGATCAGGGACAGTCAGAAGAAGGTGCTTTATTTTCCAGGTACATGAGTGAAAGGACTGCTTTCTTGGGCTGCTTCCTTGTGTATTACCCAGAAATCCAACCTTCCAGAGCTCGGATGTCCTAGCAAATTGAAAATGAGCTCTTTTTGGTTTTGCTTGTGTTTTGGTTCTTCTGTATGAGTTAATGAGACAGTGAAACAAATAAGATTTTCATGACTCTGATGTGATACCTTGCAGATTTTCTTGAACAGAAAACTGAAAAGTACGGATGTTTTGCACTTAGAGTAAGTTGCCTGGTATCTCAGTTTCAATTTTGGAGCCAAAAGCTTTAGCTATGAGAAGGCTACGTTAGTATGGAAAGTCTCTATCAGAGCTTGAGGATTGCATTAGCACACGCAGAGGAGCAGCAGATATTCTTCAGTTGTTTTTTTCTCTCTCTTAAATTCTTTGTCCTTTCAGATTCCACGAGTCTTTCCTCCATCTTTTTATTCATCGGCTGCTGAAGTCTGGGGAGATAGAGGCCGGTAGCCTCCAGGTTACTTTCAAATCAAACTAATCCTTTCTTGGGTGCCTTGGGTCTTAAAGTGCCTTGAAGGTCTGTGGATCAGGCTGGTTTCTGATATGAACACTACTAGCATGCACAACAACTTGTACATCCCAAAATGTTCCCCCGAAAACACAAGGCTGTTTTTGCATTGGCAGCACACACTGACCAGGTCCAGCTCAGTCTACGTGAGAAAAATCTTGAGTTGTGGAGTGAGCTACCCATCAACAGTCAGAGTGCAGTACGATTGGGATTGGTGTAAAATGGAGGAATAAAGTGTTTGCTTTTTTAAAGTGTTATTGTGAATTTGGCATTATAGCAGCGGGAGAGAGGAACATAGCAACAGAAAATCTGCTTTTATCTCTCTACTGAAGGCAGTTTGTGCTCAGTCCCTTAGTTTATTTCTTCTCCTTAGAATGTCATTACTTTTTCATGATAGACGATAGTTCTAGGAGCATGCTCTGAAAGATAACAAGAGAAAGAAAGCACAAAGCTGAATTGGCTTAAAGGAGAAAAAGAAATGTTGTCATAGTAATTAACCCCAACACATACACAGTTAAGGGAATCTGGTGTTTAGCTGACAACATACTTACCTTGTAGGGCTTTCTTCAGTAATGGCTTTAAACTGAAAGAAAGTAGGTTTAGATTAGATATTAGGAAGAAGTCATTTACTGTGGGGGCAGTGAGGCACTGAAACAGGTTGCCCAGAGAAGTTGTGGATGCCCCATCCCGGGGTGTTCAAGGCTGGGCTGGACAGGGCTTTGAACAAGTGAAAGCTGTCCCTGCCCATGATAGGGTAGGGGCTGCAACTAGATTGTCTTTAAGGTCACTACCAACCCAAACCATCCTGATTCTATGATTCTGTGGTTTAGTAATTTGTTTGAAATCAGTGGACCCATCCTAGAGCCCTTGCTTTACCTATTAAGAGGTTTTGTATATTTTTAAATGCTTTAAAACCATACAAAGAAGGACTCAAGCAAGTTCCGCTTTCTAAAATCCAGGTTATTTGTTTATTACTGCACAAATCCTTAGAGGTGTTCATTAGTTGAACTCTGGGCTCAATTGCTGCTGACCCCCAAAGTTTATCTGTGTTTTTGCAACTGGTGAACAGTTACCTTTGGGTGATCAAGTAACTGTAGCATGATAATTGGTACACTTGCTGTCATCACCACCAGCTTCTTCTGAGTGGTCCAGGGCAGAATAAAATACAAATACTGTGGGATTTATATATTTATTTTTAAAGAGGTGTTTACATTGAAAAACTGTACAAAACCAGCAGTAATTAACAGCAGATATAAATGTGAATACCTTTAAGGATTCTCAAAAATCCTAGAGGAACACAGGGGTTTGCCAGTCCATTACCACAACTGTGTATTTTCCTAGTGGAGCTCAGCTGTATAACTAACTCCTCTGTGCTTATCAGGTTTGTTATTTCAACGTACATTCACTCTTATCAAGCTGTTCCCAGCCCCAGGACCAAGAGCGGGTGAGCAACTAGTTAAATGAGTGGATATTTACTCTTCAAGTGTTGTTGAAAGGGTGAGTAAACATGCCCTGTTCTGAAGAAGACTGCAAGCATTCAGACTGAATAGCAGCTCTTTCTTTCCAATCCTGCTCACTATGGAGTGTTTTCCCAGTGGGTAATAGGCTCAAAACTGAATGGAGAATTGAGAAGCAGAAAAAGAACTGAACAACACAGAGGAATAAAAAAGCAATGCAGTGAAGGAAAGCGAACCTAGCGAATTGTAAAATTTTCCCTAATTCGGCAGAGCCAGGATTTCAGCCCTTGAGACTTTCTTTTCTGCAAACAAATAAATCGGCAGCCCTATCTCAGGCCGATTCGGCAAGCTCAGAGTATCAGTGTTGCCACTTGCTTCATTATCAGCTTCCTTCCCCTCATTCACCACCAGAAGGAGGCCTTGCTCTTAAAGATACATTGGTTACTTTGTAGCCAAAAATACAGATTTGAAGAAATTACGCTCAAAGCACAGGTCTCTCTGGAGGAGTGAGTGGGGGAAATGCACCACTTCTTGGGGAAAAAAAAAAAAAATCTGGTATGCCTAAAATGCCTAATTCTTTCTGAAAATCTTAATCTAGTAATTTTGGTTGCTAAGAACATTATACATCTTCTGATGACTTCCAAATTTTTTTGTGATTTAGGAACTTATCATGACTTCATGAAGAAATACAATCATTAAACAACGTCAAGGCCCCCATCTTCTTGGTATCCTTGGGTACCTAGCAAGAGGGACTAGCACAGTAGTTCTCTTAACAGGCTTAGTCATGGATGCAAATGTGATCATTAATTCCAAGTCATCTGAAAGATGATGCTAGTCTAATGTAACTACTCACAATCCCAGTTAACCAAATTAAAACTCATAGGCTTTAGAGCATGCCACAGAATTCTTTAGAAAACTATCATATAGAGACAGAAAAGAACTGATGCTGGACATGCTCAGGTAGCATGCAATTGGAATCTTCTGCTTTAGAAAGGCAGGAAGAGACACAGATAGCAAAAGACTTCAAATGCAGCCGGCAATGAAATACCAGATGGCCTCCATCTTTTGTAGAAATGTTTGCATTCAGCTGTTGAATTGGGATGACATTGTGACACTCTAAAGATGCAGTGTCAGGATGTGGTCATGCTCCACTGAGCTTTCTGAAGTTCTGCAATTGTTCCTTTGCAGAAAATGTGTGAGGAAGGAGACTGCTTGATTCTGGCAAAGGGTGACTTTGGAAGTAAAGCCCCCTTATTCTCTGATTATTCAGTTGGAGTGCTCAGATGTGATTTTCATCCCTCCAGAGAGAAGAAGAGAGTTATTCAATGGTCCCAATGGCTTCACACAGTCTTACATGCAGAGGCTGTGAGACAATACCCCTTAGTGCAGTGCTTCAAGAGCTAGGTGCTTTTTATAGGCTGTAATTCCTGGCCCTGCCTATTTTCAAGAGAGCACAGATTGTATCGGTACTCGTTATGTGCTGACCTTTGACTGCATCTGTCTATTAATCTTATCAGGCTTAAAAATGTATCATCCACCAGTCAAGGGCCTGACTGGTGCAGATTATGAGGGGTTTTTCTCATACTATCATTCATGTGCAGAATCCTATTGACAGCAGCATTAATTCCTACAAATCTTTGTGAATTCAGCTCCCAGCTGTCAGTTGTGATTGAAGTTATACTAAATTCCATCCTGCTCTTTTCAATGAGTTGTGTGTGAAAAGCTGCCAGTTAAGGCCTGCTCGCCTAAGGGAGGTTGGCAGCCTAGGACCATGTAGAAGGTGCCCTTTTGCTCCATAGATGTATCTCCCCTTAAATAAAAGTAAAAATGTGATGAGAGATGCAAACCTTAGGTCAGAACTATGTGTGTAAGCACAATATCTCTTAGAAGACATGATACCATATAGTCTTTAAGATGAATCCTGTAAGGGAGCCTTGGAAATTTAGCTTTATACAGTTATCAGTGAACAAATTGTTTGCCATCACTTCAAAGATATGATCCTCAATACAAAGGTTTTGGAGACTTGCAGATAGCCTGTCTTCAACTGTAGGCCATTGCTGAATTCCCCTGTCAATGCAGAGTTTTGTAACATTATTTAGGCTAGCTCCCCACTGAGTTGAGATTAGTTCATCTGTATAATCAGTGATGATATCATTGTGTTTAGATGGAGCAAAATAAGTTGGAAATGACACTCATGTTGTGCAATGACTCTCCACTTTTGCTTTGCTGTGTGCTTTTTCTGATGCAATGAAGGTCCAGTTTTAGTGGTCTGTCCGCAGAATCTAATAGATTGTTTAGATCTAATAGTTGAAACTAGGTGATCTTTAAGGTCCTTTCCAACCAAATCATTCTATGATTCTGTCATTTACACACGATGATTGTCTTCTGGAAGTCAAAACGAATCTAACCAATGCTGACTGCCTTTGACAACCAAAATTAAATAGTTAATACAGGAACTTGGGAATACAGACTATTATAGGAATATCCAAGTTTTAATGCCCAGGTTCAGCATATTTATTATGCATCAGCATATTTCTGTATTGAAATCGGTATTCATAAAACACTATAGCAATACCAGAGTAAAGTACATTTGCCAAAATCTTGACTCAATTTTGTTTAGAAGGACATTTACTCTTAAATATCATGTGCTGTAAGCAGGAAACACCAGGTAGCATACCTACATGAGTCACATTTTAAAATGCCAGGACCAGTCTGGTATATAATGATCCCCAAAGGCAGCATGCCAGAGGACTGCTACTTTCAAGAGTAATGACACTGTTTTGCAAACTGAATGTATTTCTCTGAAGATCTCCCCTGGAAGATAAAGTCATTGTCATCACAAAAGAAAAGCTGCCAAACAACTTCTGTGAGTTCTCAGCAGGGTGCTACTGAAATTCTGTCCAGCTTGAATAAATTTCTGCACTTCACCTTTTTAAAATGCCTTCTCTCTGAGTATCAAAAACCAGCAGATCGATAGATTAGACTCTAGGCCCTCGCTCAGTATTAGAAATACTGAAGTGGAAAGTGGTTAAATTGCTTTTAAGTGACAATTTATTATGTCTTATGCTGACTGGCTTATTGTAGAAACTGAAACTACACGAAAACTGGGACCCGCAAACAGTTTTTGGATGAGCAATGTGTAACAGTGCCTTCTGTTTCTTTCCACAGAAGATTTGAAGATAGTTAGTTGTTCTCTTTTGTTTGTTTTGTATTTAGGCAAAAGTGTGGGTTTGGGTTTTTTTAGGAAGAGTGAGAAAAAAACCCAATAGAATCTATAACTTTGAGCATTGTGTAAAGTAAGCTTGTTTATTAGATGCCCTGCAAAAAGTTATTTATGGGCTTGCTATTGCAAGCATTTGTAAAGGAGCCTCTATGCTCTCAGAGGACAAACCCGGTGATCTGAGGCAATCAGAATTCAAATAAAATCAGAATTTTAAGAAAGCCTTGTTGATTCTTGTGCAAGCACTATATGTTATCAACCCTGACAGTAAGCAAGCCTAGAGCATGTGGCCAAAGAAGAGAAACAGCTGCTGAAAAAGCAATTCTGTAGTCATTGGCTCTGCATTGCAATTATTTGGTGGGGTTTTTTATATGTATATCTTCTGATTTATTAATTGAATTACTGAACTCAGTGGTCACCTCTAGGACAAAGCCCCTGAAGCTGAGAGAAGTTGGGTCATTGAACTCAGTGAATTCAAGACTTCTCTTTCTTAGTGTCCACCTGGGTGGAGCTGAAGAAGTTTTCCCTGGCACGGTCCCTGTCGAGTTGATTGGGATGATAGAATGAGTATAAAGAAGCTGAGATTCGGTGACTTAGAGCTCCTCAGGACTCAGGAATTCCCTAGTGTTTCTGTTTTCACTGCAAAAGGAGACTCAAAATTTGGCAGCTTGGCATGGTCCGGGAGACCGCGAGGCGCTGGGGCTGTGTTGGAAGTCCTGCCCGAACCTTCCTGCCCCCTGGTTCGGCCTCTCCTCCCCCGTGCCGGGACAGGGTGCGGGGGCCCCCCTTCGCCCACCTCCCTCGGGCTGCCCCGGGCGCTACTTGCCATGGACACGCGGCGTCCCATATTGGCGGCGGGCGGCGGGCTGGGCGCGCCCTCCTCGCGGCGCTTCCCCTCAGAGCCGGACGCGGACCCGGAGCCGGGGCCGGAGCCGCCGCGGGACGCGGTGCCCTCGCTGTCGCTGCCCGCCCGGCTCCCGGTGAGGACGCGGGAGAGGAAGCTGGACTTGCGCGTGCCTGGGCAGTGCCCGCTGTCCGGGGAGTCGCCGCGCTCCTCATCCAGATCGCGGCAGGCGCTCGCCCGGCTGTGCCTGCGGGGCACCCGGCGGGCGGCGGCCGGCGCCCCCGCCGCCCCTGCCCCGCCGCCCGGCGCGGCGGCCCGCGGCGCCTCCTCGCTGCTGGAGGAGGGCTGGTGCTGTCCGTGGTGCCGGCGGCGGGGCGGCGGCGTCCCCCGGAGCTGCCCGCGGTGCTGCCGGGTCGGCGGCGGGCCGGGGGCGCCGGGCGCGGGCGGCGGTGGCGGGAGCGGGGCGGGCGCGGGGCGCGGCGGGGCCGCGTTGCTGGCCAGGCGGGGCGGCGACGGCACCACGGAGCTCTTCTTGGAGTTGTACAGGCTGGGATCCTCCTCGGCGAGGCCTGCCGACCACTGCGGCTGCCCGCAGAGGCTCTTCTGGATCTTCTTGAGGCCCAGGTGGGCGATTTCTAGGATGTTGAGGAAGAGGGAGACGGCGGCGATGCTGTTCATGAAAACCATAAAGATGGTCTTCTCTGTGGGTCGGGACACAAAACAATCCACCGTGTTAGGGCATGGGGGCCGAGTGCATTTGTAAAGAGGGGACATGTGAAACCCATATAAAAGATACTGACCTATCATAAAGCCCACTTCGACCACTGACCGGGTCAGGATATGTAGGATATAGGTGCGCAGCAGGGACCCTCTCAGGGGTGCCTTATTCACTTTCTTCTGTTCCTCCAGCTTACGCAGTTCTCTCTCTACTCTCCTGTGTTCCTCGAGCATGGGCTCCAGGTCTTCCAGCTGAGCCCGCAGGTGAGCTTTCCTGTTCTGTCGCTCTTTCTCAAGCGCCCTTAACCTATAGAGTGCATGGCCCATGTACACTAATGATGGGGAGGAGACAAATATGATCTGTAGAACCCAGTATCTGATCAAAGAGATGGGAAAGGCTTTGTCATAACAGATGTTGTTGCAGCCAGGTTGCTCTGTGTTGCAGATGAACTCGGACTGCTCATCGTCCCAGACATCTTCAGCAGCCACTCCCAGCACCAGCATCCGGAATATGAACAGGATTGTGAGCCAGATTTTGCCAACTATGGTGGAGTGGATGTGCACTTCTTCAAGGATGCTGCCCAACAAGTTCCAGTCCCCCATGGTCAGAAGTTCATTTCTGAAACAAACAAAAAAAAGGTATTTTCATACAATGATGGTTTTCTTTTGGAAATCTCCCACTTAAGTTTGTTTTGTTTCATTTTGTTTTAATAATGATCTTTCATATACACTCTTTTGATAGCAAGAGAATTCTTAGAAGTTCATAATTATTTTCTACTTACTGGGCCTACAAATTAATTCTGACTTCATGATTTATGGTCAAAGATGCAAATATGAGATGACTTTAAGAGAGATTGATTTCACCTGTAAGCCACACTGCTTGTAATTGCCTACAGTTTTACACTATTTTCTTCCCACTAGAAAAGAAGACAAATTTCTTTCCCAATTTGCAAATCCTCTGCCAACCACAGTTTAATTCTATACCCACTCCATTCCACATTGACCGTGGCTTTGCCATAGTGTTGCCATAATATATAATGCTCCTGACTTTAATTTATTGAATAAAGTTTTGAGAAGTATCCTGTAACTGTGACAAAAAAAAAAAGTTTATTTTTTTACCCCAAGGTAGTAGCATTATTAGTGCCATCCATCCAATATGTTCCCATCTATCAAGGTAACAATTCACAAGTTTCTCTCTTGGCTTCCTAAAACTACAAATCCATCGCCGATTTACACATAGCTGTACATTTGTAGTTCTAGGATAATATAAATGAGTGCTTCTAAGATAAATACTTTTCATTTTATGCATAAAGTTTTACTGAACCACCAAGACTTTGTCTTAATTATTAATTTCAACATATAAGATAAAAAAATCAGGGATTGCACAGTGGAGGGATATGGACGTTTTTAGCTGTGAGTGTGCAATGATCTTTTTAACTACCTCGTTCCCAGGATCTCTTTGACTTACCAGGAAATTCATCTACATTCTGCTACCAAGCTGCTGCTTTGGAAAAACTTAGGAGCTTCAGGTAAGGTAGGCAATTTAAATGTAAGGTATTTGACTGTTTATTTGTGAATACACTGCGTATTTGGTGTTGTGTCCCTGTATTTTTTTCTGCTAATTTGGTAACAAATTATTGAAAGCATCTGGGATCATATCTACCGCAGGGTTTGCACTTAAATTTTTTATGCTACTGTACTTTCAAAACTTCCCAAATTCCACTAAACTACAGCCTTCAGTAAAGTGCAATTTCTGAGCTTTTTTTTTTTGAGTGTGGCTGGATGACATGCCCAAAATCTTACACAAATTTAAATGATATCATAGTTGGGTGATATCACCATTATCGATATGGCTTGGTTACGGTTTATGATATGATCTCAGGTGGTACAATTCTGCTTTGAGGCTGTATGTATCCATAATGTGAGTAAAGTTTTCCAGTTGTAACCAGCATTCTCAGCATAGGCATCCTGCAGATTTTATTATTATGTCTGGCATTTATTTTTTCTCTGCAATCTGAATTTGCACAATCAACTTTCCTTTTCACGTACATAACTGCTTAAGGAAACCTAGCTAGTCAAGTAATTTCTTAGGTGCTGTGACACACACTTGGACTATCTTGTTTCCCCACTCCTTCCCTCCCATGTATATCACTGAAATAAGACACATGAGCAAAAAAAGTCAGCAATAATTATTGTCACCTATTTTCCTCATCTTTAAATAACAATATCAAATCTTTCTTCTGATTTCATATGGGTTTTATTCAGAGCAGATATCAAATTATTGCAATGTCATTGTCTGGGCGGGTGCAAAGATGTTAATCTGTCTATTGGTTTGCTGGAAAATGTTACATCTCAAGCTAGCCATGTCGAACCTGTTTTTCCAAGCTTGGAAGTGCTGATACAGAACATTTGATCTTCAGTAAAGGGAAAAGTAGAGGTTTACACAGAGCAAGTTCCCAGACCCAGAATACTAAGGAGGCCAAGTACAAGCGGGTGACACTTGCTGGTTGCTCCGTTCTACTTCCCCTGAAAGATGACTGAATGATGGCAATGCAATAGTTAAGCAAAGGAGTTTTGGGTATATTTGCTGCCCTGCAAATGGCTGATCCATCACTGAAATTGATAGATTCAGCAAAAAAATCCTAACGTCAAACAACGAAAACCCACGTGGGATGCTAAAATATAAATGGAAGAATAAAATGGGAAAGGAGACTCGTGTTAATCCCAAAGATGAAATGCTAGCATTCCTCTAGCAGTAGGAACTGTCATTGTCTGTTTTGGAGGAGAAAGTGAATGTAACCCTTTGGGGCAAGAGAGGAATATAAGCATATCACTCTGGCTTTACAGATGCTTGTTTCTTAAGCTGTTTCTACCAGTATTTAAACAACTCTGTCCTCACCTTTCCTTTGTAAAAGCCGACACAAGACAGTAAGTGTAGGAGTGGTGTAATTCACCCTGTAAGTGGGTCTATTATACCAGGTCACTTTCCCTCAACTCACTGGTAGAAATGCAGTACAAGTATAGACACAGTGAACATTGTGTATGAAGTAAAGAAGTTAGTTTAAAGACACAAAACCCAGAGTTTCTAAGAAATCAGTCCAAACTGCTTTACAACATTGTCATAGCAATGTGCTTCCAATTTTATCATTTTTTTCCCCTTCCCTGGTCTTAATTGAATTCTATATAACAGAGTAATTTCAGTTTACTGTAAGAGAGTAATTTCAAATGTGATTGATATCATTATATTCAGTCCATTAGTAAACTAGAAATTCTAGTATTCTAGTACTACAGCCTATTCTAGACTATTAGCCTTGTAGACTAATAATATACCATTTTTAGTATAGATAGTACATACCTGAGCTATTTCTTATACCATCTGATGACCTTTGTGCCTGCCCAAGTAGTTTTATATGGTTATTTCAAACAATAAAAATTTATCCATGTAATTGGTTAGAATCAGATGAAAATCTAACATTTCACTTAGATGAAATTTCTTTATTTCTCAATTTTGTTACTTCTTTAAAGTTCATCTGATTATTTGCCACTATTCAAATCACTTCTATACTAAATTTATGCCAGGTTTTCATCATCTGTGGTTGGAAAAAGCAGGGTTAAAGGTTTTGTCAGATAAATGTTAAGATGCAACTACTTAACAGTTGAATTTCCATTGATTCAAGTCTGACAGGACCTGCCTGCTCCATACTGCCCTAGGAAGAACTATTTTTCTGCCACTTACCTTAGGATAAAGCCCTTGGTTAGTCTCTTGGAGCATTGCAGAAGGAGCATGCAGCACTGCTTGTTATGTCTCAGAGACCTTTCTTTGATAGTGCTAGGACACTTTTTTACCCCAAGAGCCAAAGCATAGATGTTGAATGGACTTCTCAGTTCTGTGTAGCTGGATGCCAAGATTGCTCTGTCTAAACTACTCATGCACGGTTTAAAAATCATCAGATGATTGGATGGTGCCTCTAGCCAAAATTATCATGCAATTATTCTAGTCAGTGGCGTCTAACAAAGCCATTCCCCCAAGGCTCAGTCTGTACGTCAGTAGTTTGTGAAGTCCCTATGCCTGCTTTTAGTCAGTTCTTCAAACTTTACACTTCCATCCAGCTCCCAAACGAAATTTTATTTGTAAAATGGCTAAATAGTCAGCCTTTACAGTACAATAGAGCCTTACATTTTCTTTACATTCCATTAGTTTTGCTTTGAATCAATGCTCAAAGATCGATCGGTCATGTCCGATTTCATACTCTGTTGCCTGGTGAGTTAATTTAGGATGTGTTAGACCGAGTCCTTGCAAATGGAGGCCACAGGAACTGAGACTCGAGTCTTCAGTTAGAAACACAGGTTTTTAGCACAGTAACCCTTCTTCAGCTGGGTTAAAGAGTCACCCACAAGGCCATTAAGAACTGGTATCTATGAGGGACAAGGCTTTAAAAAGGAAGGTGAGAAGCCAAAATGGGATTTGGTGAGAAATCAGGGTCACAAGAGCTGAGATTCTGATACTTAGAGCTTCTGCTACCTAGTCGTGCCCATACCTAAATTTTATGGGATTCCCAAATATTCATTTTTCCCCTCTCTTGCTCTGGACTTTCTGGCTCTTTTCTTCCATCTTATAAGGCACATAACTGATTTCCATTTCAGATTCTTCTCCCTGAAGATAATGCCACTAACTAATGTCCAGTTCTCAAAAAACAGCAGCCCCACATCTTCTTTGGAATTATCTCTGATTGATGCACCATCACATCCTTCTCTCTCGGATAAGCTGTACTGGTCTCCCTGAAAGTCCCATTTGAATATGCCTTCAGAGCCTTGCCCTGCAGCAGATGAGGTGACTACCACATCTTTCCTCTAGCCTCAGCCTAATGCAACAGATGTGTGGTTTATGCACACATTACAAATGCTTTAGGGGCAGCAGGGCTACACTTTCTACTCCTGAGAGGTAGGCTGACATTCATCTGAAACACTCAGACCTCCATAAGCCTTTCTCATCCATATACTCTCATGTACCTGTCATTGGCATTTCATTTTCATGCCTCGTCTTTCCAAATCTGGTCACCAAGTCCCTAAGGCTTTTCCTTGCTGCTTCAGCTGTCTTGGACCCTTGACTCAGGCCTGGGTGCTCTGTGCTGCCTCACCAGATGGTGGTGTTGATCTGACATCTCCAGCAGCTTCCACAGTGTTTCTCAGGAATGCCGCCTTCACCTCTGCTCCCTCTCTTGCTATAAGCATCTGCCACAGATGAAATCAGCTTACAGCGTAAATGCTAGCAGGCAGCATGTATGGATATGTTGGGAGGGAATATCCTGGAGATCAGAGAGACAGGAGCTTGGCCAGTGGCACCTGGAATGGGCAGGAGTGAGCAGCAGCAGAGTGGGAACCAGCATATCTTCATGCCTGACCTTCCTGGACCACAAATGACCTCCCTGGTGGTAAGTAGAGACCCAGGGAACGTAGTGCTGGGGCAGGAGCTGGTCACAACCAAGGAGGGTGAAAGCTTTAATCTTGCTTTCTTGGTTCTTCAATAAGCCCTAGTATGCAAATCCAGTATGGGGCATTTACTCTACCTCGCCTGTGACAGCAGGATTCTGCACCTGGGGATTGGGCAACCCTG